TTGTCCATTTGCCTCAATAGTTTACAAGATCTTCCTTGAGGGGATACATTTCCTTTGTGCTTAACAGGAGCTGCCTCCAGAGGCTGCTGATTGTTGCTCTTTTCCAATCCTATTGTTGATGCCCAGGTCCCTTGTGAGGGATCCCAGCTGCTGGGCTTCCTTGCCCTCTAATTTCTGACTGTTGGCCCCAGTATCCCAGCACTGAGCAACCAGCAGATAATTAGCTCACCAGGTTGATGGCTATAATCTGTGTATATCTCACAGCTCCCTTAGGGATAGGGAGCGGGTGGTTTCTGGCTTGTTTATGATTTCTGTCTCTTTCCCCTCCTGTTCTTGTGACTGCTCTGCTGCACAACTGACTGCCTCTCTGACTCCTCATCTTGCTCCTTCTTAGGAGAAGGTTCTTTCTCCCTGACTGAACAAGTTGACTTCTCCCATGGTTTCTTCTTGACTATAGGACCAACTGATACAGTTGAGAGTTGGGTCTCTGGCTTAGCCACAGCGCCTGTTTGTGTCTTCAGATCCAGAGACCCTCCCTCTCTCCCCTGAGGGTGCCAAACAGTGCTTGGTAGGCATAGGCCAGGCCCATCACGGTGTGAGAAGTTGTGTCCCTTTAGCATAGCCAGGATATCCTTTTCTCAAATGTTCTGTCACTTTATCAGGGTCCTGCACTTGTTTGGGCGTCAAGTCCCACACCATTGGAGGCGGAAACTGTTCTAGATACCTGCCCATATTCTCCCATGCATCTCGCTGCCCACGACCACACTGCCTCAGGGCACATCCCTGTGTGATTAACCTTAGGAAAAGCTGGAAACAGATTCTTGAGGCACGTGAGCATTCTGATTACCCAGGGACGTTCAAAACACTGAAGAGTCATTGTGACAAGGTGGAAAGCAACCACCCTGCAGGAGGTGAAGGGGAAGGTGCTGTTCTTTGTTTCCTCCACAAATTGGCTCTCAGAGGAAAAGAGGGAAAAGGTGTAATTGTTAATTGTCTCCACGAGATGGTTCCCGAAGTACTGGGATGGCAGCAATGCAGGGCCCAAACACCAGATTAGGCTCAGGGCCAGTGCTTTCATCATAGTTCTCCCGGGCAAAACACAAATGAGTGCTACACAGCACAGCAAATTGCAAAACCAAACCCAGCCTTTAACAAGCTCTCAAATTTGATGTACAGCAAGAGAAGGAGCTTGACACAGAGGGGGTAAGGGAACATAAATCTGCATCAAGAACAAGTAAGTTAACATCGCAACCAGAAACAGCTAAACAGGTACAGTAAGTTCCCCCTAGCACACTCCGGTCAAGTATCTCATTATCTTGAACTCTACGTGTCCCACGCTGGATGCCAAAAAGGACTGTGGTTCACTCACCCTGGATGGCAGCTAAGTGCCTCACAGCTGCACACTCACTGCCACCCCCCCCCAAAACGGAATTGGGGAGAGATTCAGAAGCGCGACGTTACATTTTGTGGGATATCTATGTGGTCAGTTCAGGTCAGCTGTCCCAGTCGTGCCTTCTCCAAGCCCCTCACCCACCCCCAGCCCACTCGCTGGGTGTCAGCGTGAGGGGCAGCGAAAGCCTTGGTGCCGAGCAAGCACTGTGAGCAATAGCTAAACCAGCGGTGTGTTAGTGACGCCGTTTTGGTTACAAATCCGAAACACAGCACCATATGGGACGCTATGAAGAAAATTAACTCCATCGCTCCAAGACCCAGTACATCAGGGTAAATTTTTGTTCTCTGACTTAGGAGACTGCTCCTGAACTGGCCTGTTTTGGGCTCGCAGCCCAACAGGGACAATTTGAAAGTCATGCAGGTCACTGGAGGGCAACACTGTTAGATAGGGTTTAGCACACACAGCCACCAGGAGAGGCTGACAGAGCTGGGGCTGCTCCAGCCAGCAAGAGGAGGCCAACAGGCAATCAAATTGCAGCACACAGCTGCAGGATAGGGAATTAGCAAGACAGCAGAGCCAAACAATTCTTGGCAGTGGCAGGTGGTAAATAATGGGCAATGGCCACCAGCTATGGTGAAGAAGGTTCATGCTTCACATCAGGAAAACTCCTTCACAAGGAAGGTAGAACAGCACTGGGACAGGTTGCAAAGGGAAACCTGGGGAAGCTCCATCCCTGGTGGTTTCCAAGACCAGACTTCGTGTTGGCAACAGCCCACTTCAAATGGGAGACTTCACCAGATGACTTTCAGCAGTCCTTTCCAGCCAACATTTCTATTCTTCCAAGTACCCCATTTTCCAAACCACCTTCCTATACAGTGTTATCACAATTGTGGAGCTGGAAATACTCGGCTGGCAGTTAAATGAGTTTCCATCATAGACCTATGAAACAGCCATTCTAGCCACTGCAGCTGTGCTTTTTGTAGGAGATTAAGTTAGTTTGGTTTAAAAAGCAACTGGGACCTTGTCCTGTATTTTGTGCACCTGTACAATGGTCCAGGGATAAGTTCATAGGAGCAGCTAACTGGTATGTCTGGTTGAGTAGCTGGA